TTTTTTTTTTTTTTTTTTCCCCCCCCCCCCCCCCATCACTTTTCTAATGGTCCGTCCCTAAATATACACAATATTTATTCATAATCTGCATGAACGAAACAGTCCGTTATTCTGTACTGTAAAAACAGATTGTTTATAAAATAACCAATTTGAATTGGTTGTCTCGGATCTTATTTGACCAGTATTTTATTGGTTACAACAAACAAACATTGGGTTATTTTAACCAATTTTTCGGTTCTTTTCGCCATCAAATGAAAATACGTCTGAGACAACCGATTCAAATTGGTTATTTTAACCAATCCGTTTATACTTGGGTAAACATAACGTTGATAGTAAGTCAACATAACTTTGAGAAGAACTCAACGTGACGTTTGCTGCTATAGCAAATAATTTTAAAAATTCGGCGCCGCGGCGCTTTGATTGCAAATGGCAGCAGCTAGTATATTTGGCGAATCCCATTAAGCGTTACAGGTGTATGGTAGTGCTTAAATTGAAAAAATCAGTTTAATGCTCTTGAAAAGTGTTTATCGAGTTTATACAAAAAGTACGCAAAATATACGCTTCTTAAGACCTTCTGCCCGCGACGAGCAGCTCACGCGGTGTCTCTTCTACAAGAATGTTGAAATTGAAATTTACACACACGTATCTTGGGAAATCGCTTCATGATATACTGTATATTTTTTCACGGTTAGATGGTATCTATTTGACAACTGATAACAGAAAGGTAATAGATATCTTTATCAAGGCCTTGCCATTATTTCAAGACCTATCCATTGAATATCCATCCGAACAATGGGACACAATATGACAGAAATTTTCGATATCTCTTAACATTTCCGAATACAGACTATATTGCAAAAGTTGAATTATGCCATGCAGTTTTACGTAAAGGTGCATGTAGCGTTAAGTTGTGTAAAAGTGGTTATATATGCTAAACTGCCTAAATATATTAGTAAAATATATTGCAAACATCCCATAGTTGATCTACACGTCCGATATTGCTATGGAAGCTACTGATTAGTTAATATGTATATGTATGTCATGATGTTATCTGGTATCTATGACTCTGATAAAATTCTACAACCCTATAGTAGACGCTATTGCGTACCTATTTTTATTAGTTTTGTTATACCTGTATACACAAAACATTTAATAAAAAGTTTGTAATCGTTCTTCAATAAAATCTACTAATTTACTCGTCATATAATGGTAGAAGTCTTTCATCTTCTTAATTCTTCTGGCCTGGAAGAAAAACAAAACGCACATATAGAAATTTCTTCATGGGAAGTGCTGGCGTATCGTATATTTCCACGCGTTACTTTGTTTAAATGACATAATTTCTATTGGATTACTTACCCAGCATTGTGTACAAGAATATCGCGGGCACCATAGGCACAAGTCCTCCAATACTGAACCACGTTGTAATGTGAATGGCAGGATGAAAACCGAATGGCGATTCACGAAACAAAGTCCAGAAAAGAAAACCCAAAGGAGTGACAGCAGCCTAAAGAAAAATACTTAAAGTTATGTAAACCACAAATAAGCGAAATCAAGAACGGTACCCCCAGACAACTATGAGTCTTTTGGTTGACCAAAGTATAAGAGTATAATGTACATATTTGGTTCACTTCACTGCGATCCCATTCTCTCACAATAATTTTGCGTGTGTTGAATTTGTTCTCCGGGCGTTCGTTCACGAGTATATATAACATGCATGCTTAGATCATTAAGGGTAACCAATTATAAATTACTTGGAGTTCAACTGAGTGAGGATCTTAAGTGGAATAAACGTGTTGATTATATCTACAAAAAAGCTTGTAAGAAGCTATATTCTTTACGAGCTGCCGTTGAGCAAAGGAGTTGCTTTTAGAGCTGCCGTTGAGCAAAGGAGTATCATGTACTAAAAGTGTATGTATAACTACTATCAGACCCGTATTGGATATGCTGTACCAGTATGGCAAGCGATCCCTGACTATTTAATTGGCTAGAATCAATACAGAGAAGGGCACTTCGAATCATTTTCCCTTCCATAGATAATTATGATGAGGCGATGATGATGGAACAGGATGCCACAGATACAAACATTGGAGAGTAGACGTGAACAGTTATGTAAAAAATATCACTAAAATGAAGAAGGAGGATCATCCCCTGCATTTTGCTCCCAAAACCTAAGGTGAGCGAATGCAGGTATATAACCTACGAAGTGGGCAAAACAATACTGTTTCGTTTGAGAACACAATCAAATGCAGAACTTTAAGATCAGAACAACTTTTACTTTTAAATATTTTAATGTTGATACATAGTTTTAACAGTTATAGTCTAGGACCTGTATATGAGTTTGTATGCATTTCATTTAGGACAGATAATCTCATCTGTTTTAGGGCAAGTTGACCATGACGGTCGACATGGTAACGCTGCCCAAACCCCAATCCGGGGCGAAACGTCCGAAACTGACCACACCCAAAAACGACGCTTTCGCCATACTGCTTCTACCAAACCATAAAAGCTTTGGCTATTCTGAGGTGCTTATATGGTTCAGAGATGGTACTTTTAGGGGTGGTCATTGGTAAGTGTGGAATGCCTAGTACTGATATTTCACAAGAAAATGACCATGCAATACTCATAGTCAAACGTCAATTTGTGACTTACAAATTCAGATAAACAGCAGTGGACCTACATTACCTTTTTTCCTAAATCTTTTTTATAGAAACATAATTGGTACTTATTTATGTATATTATCACTGCTTTGGTGTAAAATAGTTGATACTTTGTGACCGAAATAATAATTTGAAATCTACCTACCTCCTGCAAATGGACGTATTTGGCCATATTCTCCACTTTACTCCGCTGTTTATCGCCGATGTCGTTGAAATCCTTCCAAATATGTACGTCAGCTCAGATATAATGGTATCAAGCACATTTTAAATAAGTTTTAACTTGGATTCAAGTACATCCTGGCTGTTTAACCATCGACAAGGTAAAACCACAACTTTGTCCAAATTCGGCGCCATGTTGTCATCCCATGTCGGTTGTCAACAATTCGGCCTTGTTATTCTTCCATCCAAGCCATTTTCATTGCACTAATAACAAATTTAACCCTTTACAAGGGTAGGAAACTAAAAAATCTAAACAAAATATAAGAAATGTAGCTCACGAGTCTTTCAAAACATTCCGTACAAATCTCGCGTGGCAAAGTAACAGGGACGTGACAGGGGGTGGAGACTTTGAAGTTTTAAGCATGAGGAACCGCACTAGGTGCGAAAAAATTAAGGGTGAAGTGTCTGTTGCCATAGAAGTTGTAATTAGGTTTGACAGACACCAATTATAGGCCATTAATAAGAGGAGAAGACACTTTGTAATGCAATACATCGCTTGGTGTAACTGTTAAATATTAAGACATGTATTTAAGTTATTAACTTACAATATGGTTTGTTTACGCTGTCATCACTTTACAAGGAAACTACAAATTATACTGTTTTGCCACAAACGCGCCAAATTAGAATCATCAGACAGGTCAGTGTCTGGTGTACGTATCTGGCTTGGCGAATGCATGACAAAAGATGCGGTAATGTCTTACCGTGTATATTCGCATTGTTTGGATCGAGCCAGATAGAAATTGGACGCTTATAATTACTGCTTGCCCGGTTCAAGCATATCAAATAGGAATAATGGCAATAAATATATATTGCGATGTTTCCCGTACGAATTCAAGCGGGTCAATATAAAAGACCTAATATTAAGCTTCAGAATCACAATGGTAATCCGGTGCCATACCGTTGGTTTAATGCTGGACGGAAAATCGCCGAAGCTTACGTTGTCTCGTCATTCGGTATCTTAACATTCGCGATGAGAAAGCGCAGTTAGCGCACACTTGACGGTGCGTGGCTACAGTCCAGCGTATTCCAGCATATACGCCAAATGGTCAACCCGCTTGAAGATTCAAATTGGCGCCAACACAACACCAAGCGTTTATACTCTGAAGAACAACGAAAGGGACGAAACGGCGCGAATGATTGAGCACATAATGCTCTTAGAGAACAGATTGAAAGACGAACAAAAAACGTATACAAAGTTTTGAAACGGCTTAATTCTCGCTTATACGAACGCGAATGGTCTTCACCTTATTGGGAGTGTTCTGAGTGATGTATATTGGTATGATTAAACAATTTTCATAGTTCTAGAAAACATACAGTAAGTAAATAATTACATGCAGTAACTCATGCCAAAATGAGTCAAGAAGGGTAGGTTTATGTCAGTCTCTGCAACTCGATCTCGATGTTTTGCAAAGTACATGGCTATATGGCTCAAAATATTGGCCGAAAGCTCTCGATCCACTTACATGATACTGTATTAATTAATAATCTAAAT